ATAACTATATAAAAACTTAAAAAAATGTACTAAAAATGTCCCGGACTTACATTTATGATATAAGACATGAATTATGAAATTAATATCTGAAGGAATTTATTAAATACCCATTACAAATTAAAAAGAGTACATCTAATAAACATATCCAACTCAAAATTTTTATGAAATTTTTTTTTTACAAAAAATACAAGCAATATTCAAATGTAATGTCCGCAACATAAAATTTGCATTTTCCATATTTAACGTAAAATATTTTCCAAAATATCAATAATTTTTATTTTTTTTTTTTGGTTTCATATAATTCAATTTATCTATTTTCTGAAAATGTCAAACATCATATATAAAACACAATTTGAAAATTTTCAATGCATGTCGCAATTACTGTGGAATGCCCCTTTCCGTGGTTACGCTTGTATTTAGATAGGGCAAAAAATGCCCATTCGTGCAGAACGAGTGTGCAGTGTCTGCCGATTGATGAATAACCTAATGCGAATTCACCAACCGATTAAAAGTTCAACCTGGTTTAACGAGCAATAATACGGTTATAACACACAACAGAGGTTAATGATCATAATCATTGTCTGTATTAAGCTTGTAAAATAATTAAGAGACAAGAAAACAACACGTAATATAGGCCATGGCCACAGACCCTACATTATAAGGTCTGTATAGGCAAACAACTCGGGTAACAACTACATTCCTGAACCATCGCACATGTTCGTACAATTTCCATGTACAGAGATCAAGCCAGTCGGCTATTTTCAGCATTTGACATTCTTTCCTTGTCTCCGATGACATTCCTGAATTGGCGGCGTACAAAGACTTCGTCTCCGATAACATCCTTGAATTGGCGGCTTTCAAAACTTTCTTTATTCTCCCAAGAGTATCACTGGACCCCACTTGTGAGAACGTTTTTCACTGAATTAATTATTACTAGGCAACTTCAATACTGGCAAATTGATACCTATTTAAAGCAATGTATTTCCATTCATGCCTAGATTTAATTATTAATTAATTAATTATTTAAATACGGTAACCAATCAATCACTTTTCTGGAATGTATAATCGTCTTGCAATAGGTACGCTTGTTTAATCGTACATATATAATTATAATGCAGGATTAATTAATTATATACTTTATTCTAAGATACAAATCATGTTTCTTGATAAGTTACAGCTATAGTTAAATTAAATTTCTTCTAAGCAATAAAGTTTCAACTTAGAATATTTTGCAGGATAAAATAAACACTTCTTTACTAAAAATTATGCTATTAAAACTACTTCGTAAAACAATGAATCTTAATAATAAAGTATTTCGCCATACGTACTTTCAAGAACATAATAAGGTCTTGTTTTGTAAACTGGCATAGGGCCTATTCTATTTTTTCAGTAAATGTTTTCTCATACACAATTTCAAACAAAATGTTTTTGTTACACAACTACTGGAGTAGGGAATTATCAATTCACTCTGGCTAGACAATGAACATGCTTGCTTTACCAGATAAGACAAAAGATATCAATAACGTCTCCGTGGTAACGTTAACTTTAAACCCTACTACTCTAGTATTGTTGCTTTTTATTGAGTAACAAACGATTGAATCGATAGCATGAATCGTGTACATATTTGAGTATAAATAATTAAGAAACAAATATCATATGTATGAACTTTAGAAACACTTTAGTGGAGGAAACCAATTTTCAACCTATTCTTATATAAATTATATATGTATACATATTTAAATATATGTGGCCTATATATTAATCATGATATAATATATATATATATATGGCCTATATAATCAATAATGAAACAATATTAGTATTGTTGCTTTTTACTGAGCAACAAACGATTGAATTGATGGCATGAATCGTGTACATATTTGAGTATATATAATTAAGAAACAAAAATCATATGTATGTACTTTAGAAATACTTCAGTGGAGGAAACCAATTTTCAACCTATTCTTATATAAATTATATATATGTATGCATATTTAAATATATATGGCCTATATATAAATTATGATATAATAGATAAAATCCGAACTAGCTTTATATATAATAATAAGAAGAAACGAATACCATACTTTATTGGAGAAGAACTTCAATCTATCGAAAGGTTTGATTGAAGCAATGGTTTTATTATATTTTTATGATGTTTACAATTCTTAATGTGACTTCAATTTATTAATTTTTTTCAATAGTTATTATTATTATTAAGTAGTTTTATATAGTGTGTAGGCCTATATATAAAATGAAAAAGAGGGCCGAGTTGACTGGGCCTAGATGACTCGAAAGCTTTGTATTTAGCGAGCGGTATTGTATCCTTAATTGTGAATGCGTCATCGGCGTTCCATACATATACACGCATTGGCGGCCGTTCTGGAGGGCGGCCGCTATAGGTATCGGCCGATATGGGCCTACTTTGTTACAATTTGTTACTTTTTGTTAAATTTAAGAGATGGAATTTTTTTTGGTCCCAAAAGACAAAGGGTTCCCAAAATAATAGGGGTTCTACTGTATTAAGCTAAAAAACCCTACAAGATCTAGGACTAAGGCCCGGACTGACAGAGTATATATAAAAAAAAGTATGCCTAGGCCTATGGATCACTTCCTGTTTGAATTGATACTCCCTCGTTCAAGGAAACCGTCCATTCCCTAGACTAGTCCCTATGCCTACATTCTTCTCTTCCTAGGCCTTGACGTCACGTCTACACTAGTTTGCTCGGCTCTGAAAAGTGAGCTACACTACAAGACTAAGATTAAATTACCACCAGTCTAGTTTAATAAGATTAAAAGCAAATAATCTCACCAAAAATGTGGTAAACACCAACAGTACGTTAATTTTCGATGTCGTAGCCGTCGTTTTCGGCTAATTGTTTCTACAAAAGCTCATCTTCAGAGGGCGCACACTTATGTGGTTCCCGTATATTTTCAATTCCGGGTACTGCGTCTTGTTCAAGTATACAATTTTTTCTCTTTTTTTAATATTAATACACATATCATTTTAAGTAATTATTTTTATTTATGTATCATATATAAGGAATACACACCGATAATGATGTGTTTAATTACCCTATACAATTTAACATCAAACAATTTAATAAGGCCTGCGGTACTGTGCCCAGGGAGGTATGCGGTAGTGACCTACGATAATAAATTGTCGACCGGTTTACGGTACAAATAATTTTTAAAACGGGATCTAAAGTATAGCCCGCCATCATGGTAAAAAGATGTCGTCATAATACTAAAAATAGGACTGAATCAGAGATTTCCGACCTTCTAATTCTTCAATGTTAGTTATGATTCAATCTGTTAACGTAAATTTTTCATTCTCTTTTGAATGAATGTATACTATTTGTATGTATGCACCACTCTACTACTAGCCTAGTGTACAGAATTTGGACCTATAATGATTATTCAAAAATCATATAAAATCAATTTTCAAATGAAAGTTTAGATTTATGTATCATTGTAATTATGACCATATTAGTACAGTATCTCAATTTAAAACTTTGTATGTTTACGAATTAAATGTTTTATATTTGTATTCTTCTTCTTGTGTATGACAGGCAGCATCAAATTTTAAATAACTACTTCTTTAGTTTTTTTTTTTTTATTATTATTATTTATTTATTTACTTTTTCATTATTATTTTATTTTTATTTTTTTTTTTTTCTATTTGGACTTTGTCCTAAATATAAGCACTACAGCTTGGACATTTTTAATCAAACTATTAAAAGCACCAGAAAACTTCTCACTTTGGAAAAAAGAACTTCCCTCTGTGTTTCATTTCACCAAATTGGTTCATTTAGTTTTTATACAATATTTCACCAAATATTGTATTAAAGCAACTTTATACATGCACAGGTACTAAGGATTACAACATAGGGCTAATATTATGACCAGGCTGGATATGAAGGTAAGCTATTTAGTTCAGGTCTAGTTAGCTAATGTTGAAATTTATCCACTTTTAAATCACTTAAGCTTATGGCTGTAAACTTATTAACAGAATGGGACTCTGTTGTAGGTCTTTCAATTTACCATGAATCCCTCTTATAACCACTATTTGGTTCTAGGACATACTGTATAGCTAAGCGTCAGTAAAACAACAATCTACATTAAAGCACAAAATAACATTTCAACACAGAAATTAATCTCATCAATTGGACAATTTAATTTCCCATCATGTGATGCATTTTAACTATAGAGGGCTCACTATTAAATTACTTTTAGTATTGCAACCAGTTTTCAGTAATGGATCGTGGATAAATAATACTACAGGTGAAATTATTTGGACATGGTTTACTGTAAACATCACATTACAATCAAATTCAGAAATAAAACACACCAAATATGTTTTACCTTAAATTGCACCACATTTTATGACGAAATGTTAATATACCCATTTAGCAAAATAGGCACTTCCCAAAATTATATAAATTTTAAATAACTATTATATATCAAATTTATTGTGTATGTTTACCCTTAAGCTACACATTTTATTAACTTGTCAATACGCTGGCTGGACATATATACTAGCAACTTTGTGTTTATCACACTATTTTCGTACTTCCATGCGCCACCAACAGACTGTGTAAACAACAATGATATTATCGAAGTAATAAGATTAAAGCTCTCTCCACATTATGATGTTTAATTGAGAAATGTGTGTGAACTACACACATGGGCATTATGATTTCATATACACATATACACATACATGGGCAAATCACAATTATATGTCAGGTACACTTTGACAGTAATACAGTATGGGCGAACAAAAATATAACATGATAAATAAGACCAGATTTGGAAACATTTGGAGATAGCAGTACAAAATTATGGGCTCACCATAAGATGCATGAATCTGCCTCCCCTCCTAGGTGAACAGAAGCAAAAAGAGATACAGGCAACATTTCAACAAACCAGAAATTACCATGAGGTATTAACTACAGTACTTTCAACAATAACTTAAGGTTCACTGCTTCACTAATTAGTTGAATTAACAAAAAAACTCAATACAATAACTGAACATATATGTTTAGAGTAAAGCAAAAATTTGCATTTATAAGGATGAATTGTATGGTGGGACACTACAATCCACAGCTAATTTAGTTTTATGTTGGTTTTTAAATATACTGCTTGATTTCCACAACTGAGATTTAATTGCTATGGTCATAATTTTGCTAGAAAGTACTATATAGCATGTAAATCTGAGGAAACCTCGTGCAGTGAAAATGTAGTATTATTATTATGAAGTATAATTTAGCTCCAAAAGCACAAGTTTTTGTAATTGTCAGTAACCATTTCCAATAAAAGTTCGATCAAAAAACATACATCAATACATATCAATATACAAATTTCTAGCTTTGTATTATGAATTGAGAAATTTGTATCAACAATTTTGGTTATTAAATCCCTGAGGTATCAAAGCAGAATGCCAGCACAAGAAGGCTGTAACCTGAAAATGTGACAAGAGGTTATAGGTTAAATAGACTACATATATAATGTAGGATAAAACTAAAGGCAATAAAGGTTTTGGAGTTTTCAAATTTACACTGATAGAACACAATGGGTTGGGATGTAGTAATAACTCCTTTGTAATTATATAAACAATGGTTATTATGTTAACAATAAGGATATAGTAAATTGCATAGGAATGTATTTTACATACAATAGCACATTTATGCTGTGATATTATTTTTAGTATTATCTTGACACTCAATTCCAATTAAATCTTGCATATATGTCAAAAGAATCATGTGTACAATTGCATGTTCTTGCATATATCTCACATGAATCTTGCCTGTAAGCATTACCCAAAACTCGCACAATTTATTGCAAAAAATATCACACTATTGTTTTCTGATTTTTATGATCAAATTCTGCATATTGAGAGATGATCAGAGCCTCATATTTTCAGTAATTCTATTGTTCCATAACTTATATAGCATTCAGCCTTACTACGATCTGCAAGGATATTGTAATAAATACTTGTTTTATTTTAAAATGATCTCAATCCCTAACAGAAACTCTATGAGGAATAAATTAATTATTTTTTTAATATTAATATTTATGAATCTGTCTTTCACATCACCCAATAAAAATATACATTATTATTTTAAAAGTAGCATATAATCTGATCAGGTGCAATTGTGCTGTTTTAGATTTTCAGAAAATCTAAAACGTTTAGCGTTGGGACTTAACTACTATCTGAATCATCTTCTGTCTGGGTTGATAATACACAAACGATCTCGGCCTTCTGGGATGGTGTCATTTTCTGGGTCATGTGCACTATGGTTTCCATTATGACTTCTGGGTTTTCATTTACCAATCTGTGAAAAAAGAATTTATATTTTTTAATAAAGCAATGAGGTCAAAGTGCAAAGAAAGGAGATTTTAGTGCTGAATTTGAGTGTTAACAATGAGGAACACAGGCTATCTGTTGAATGGCTTGGTATAGTTGGCATTACATAAGTCCATACAGAAGGGTCAGTACATTGATTTGGATATGTTGAACAGTTGGTGATGATTGTAGGTGAAAAGGGATGGTAATTTTACTGTTGCTGTTAAAAGGGGGACAATGGTACATTTAGAAATAGGTTATCATAAAGCTAAAAGTTTTTCTACTGCATCACAGATTAGGATTGGAAAGCTAGGCCTTACTACCACATGTCCCACCTAACCTAAAATTAAAAACCCTAGGCCACACCATGACATGCTCCTACTAATCTAAGATTGGAAACCTCAGCCCATACACCACATGTCCCTCTTAACCTAAAATTTTAAACCCTAGGCCACACCACAACATGCTCCTACTAATCTAAAATTGGAAAACCTAGGCCACACCACAACATGCTCCTACTAATCTAAGATTGGAAACCTCAGCCCATACACCACATGTCCCACCTAACCTAAAATTTAAAACCCTAGGCCACACCACAACAAGCTCCTACTAATCTAAGATTGGAAACCCAAGGCTATACACCACATGTCCCTCTTAACCTAAAATTTAAAATCCTAGGCCACACCACGACATGCTCCTATTATCGGAAACCCAGACCATAACATTACATGCTCCTATTAATCTAAGGTTTGAAACACTAGACCTTTACTGCTGCATGCCTCAACATGTATGGCAACACTAGGTCTTACACCACCACATGCCTCAATATTTATATATTTATATAATATAAATATTCTAACCAGCAAGCTTAGTGGACCACTGTTGCTGACCTAAACTTACTTGCGAATCTGGTGGATAAGTTGGTCACGTCTCACTGAGTTTATGTTGTCCAAAATACTGGAATGACCTTTAGTAGCCTGTTGCTTTTCTTGGTCCAATAGCCATTCACTAACAGCTTGGTTATTGTCCCAGAGATAAGCCTGTTAACAAAAAAAAACCCATACAATTAATGGTTAACAGTATAATACATGATCTATATGTGCTGTGATGTAAAGAATTCTATTGCAGTTTGACAGGGTTCAAAAGTTATGAACCAGGTTAATAACAAAGCCGGTTTGTTATTAACTAGGTTAATGACAAACCTGTTTAACCAATTATCAATTGTTAAAAAAAACACTATTGACATACCTTCGGGGCACCTTGGTCATCAACAAACCATCTACGAATCATGAATTTAATCTCCACGTTTGAGAGTGTACTATTGGCTTTACGAATCAGATCACGAACCTTGTATTCCAGAAGAAGTCTACGCAAACGCCAGTAGAAAAATTTACGAGAGCTCTTCCAATGTAAGCTTTCCTGAAATTACAAGTCGGAGTTCATTTAATTGATGAGTATCAGAAGTTTTAATTCTAATAAATTTACCATAAAAACAGAAGTAAAATTTATCTGACAAGCAACAGATTTATTAAGTTAATGATGCAAAGAATCAGAGGGAGGAAGTAATGTCCTTAAACTTACCGATATAACTCCCTTCTCCTGCATTCTTCCTGCGGTGTCATGTAGGTCTGCAAAGTTGACAGCGACTTGGTGGTAGATTGGTAGAAGTAACTCCTCTCTCTTGAGCATTTTTGCCTTAATATCTAAACAGGAATAATAAATTGAATGTGATGCAAAGGTATCTTAGCTTAATATATATCATAGTAAATCCATGTGTGTTCTTGAAATTATATAATAGGCGATGACACAAGAAATTGTAGCAAGGAGTCATGTGAACAATTATTTATTTTCAGAGAAATTTCTGACCAGTTCTCTGGTCTTCTTCAACTTATAAAACCAAATATATAATAAATTATTCTCCAGTTTAGCTGTTACATTCTAGTAATGTATTATATATCACCCTTATTTCAATCATACATTTTTAATGTTTTGAATTTTTTATATCCATTTAATATCTCTATAACTTTTTACATTTTGTACAGCACCACTGTAAATAACAATGTAATTCATTTTCTTTTCTTTGTAGCTTTAAGGTTTATTCATTAAATGTAACTTTATCCTGGTTAAATAAATTCTAAATAAATTAATTAAAGGTGAACAAGTGATCCCATCTGTAACTTTCCCCTATGTTCCCTCCTGTGTTTTCCCCTGGGTTTTTCCTCCGTGTGCTCTACCACTATGTCCCTTCCCTCATGTACAGTATTACATCCTCTGTCCCCTGAAAACTCTTACCTTTCTTCTCTTCTTCACTTAATTCTTTACTTTGCAATTTCTTTGCCAATTCTCGGTATGTTGTGTCGATCCTCCATAAGGTTTTCAACAGATCTCGTTTCTTAAACTTAATCTCTACTGTGCCCTCTGGTTCCAGCACACCACCTCTGCAAAAAATGGAATAGCCCTCAATAACATGTTGCATCTATTCTTAGCTCTATAATCTAGTATACTGACGGTTCATTAAAGGGAAAACCCTTGAAGTCGACATTGATACATGTGGGTTTGAAGAAACAACTTTTTTAGAAAGCAATTTTTTAAAAGGATTTGAAGTCATACCGGGAATCAACATCAGCATACATCTCCATGTGTTCAGGGTTGATTGTGGGGTCAATAACCACCCAGGAGCCTCCTCTCAGTTCCCCATTAGGGGGGATGTATACCATCACTGGCTGTTTGTACTCAACCAAGCCATCTACGATGTATGATCCATATTTCAACACCTGTTCATACATATCTACGTGTGACAAGAAACAAGAGAAAAACAATTAAGGAAAGTATTATAGTAGTAAGCATTTGTTGAAAATAATATCTATTCATAAAAAGAAGTAATTATAGAGTAACCTATTTTGTTAAATACTTTAATTCTGAAGCTCAAATTTCTAAACACATGAGCTTTGCAATTTTGTGTTTGGCTGCAGTGGAGCATGTAGCAAAATGCATCAGGGGTCAAGGCCTGTCCGACAGAGGAGGGGGAATTGCCCTCTCTGTGCCCCCCACCCACTGGTGCCGCCACTGTAAAACACTGGGTTCTTAAGTGAAACTGCATAGAATTGTTTCATCTTTAACATTAAGTTAGCAAGTGATATCCTTATTTACCTTTCATTCCACCTGAAAAGCCTCTCCAATTGGCGAAGATAATGAGTGGCAGTTGTTCTCTGTTGAAGTCCTTGATAGCTTGTGCCGTCTTGAAGGCAGAGTCAGGGAACCAAACCATACCAGCCTGAGCTATAGCCTAATAATAAAAATAATGCAAAATCCTTTTAGGAAGACTACAACTTTGAAACCAATTACACACAATTGCTTTAACTGACACAACATGAAAATGGAAGTGAATTTATTACACACACAAGATAAGGCAATTAGATAATAGTTAAGTAAACTTCCGCATATAAACTTTTTATATATATATTACACACTCTGTACTGCCTAACCAATCATAACTAATAAAATAGTTTTATACTATATTATTTTTTATTATCTGTGTTAACCATTAGAACTCACCTTTGCCTCTGAATCTGGGTTTCCTGGATCAGCAGGAATGTCAACATTAACTGTTCTTGTTTCCACAGCGATAACACCCATTGGAATACCACCAAGCCTACATAAATGACAGAAAGTATTTAATCAGTTTTACTGGATTGCCACTTAAATAATATACCTGCATTTTGTAACATACAAATCCCCTATATTATTACCTCAATCATTGGAAAAAGAACAAATACTCAAATGGCTGCGAAGTACATCAAATTGAAATTAGTTATCTTGTACAAGTATTTGATCCTATAATATACTCGGGTATAAAAATCAAGTAACACAGTTGACTCATGTTTATTAATAAGGGAAAGTAAGCATCGGGAACCCCTGAAAGCCAAAGCACAGAGCCCTCCCTGTTGGTGAATGGGGAGGTACAACAGGAGGCAACTGCTTTTTTTAAAATATGTTAATATTTAATATTTACACAAGACTAATGACCTAAACAAATATATAATATGTAGGAACCAAATCATGAAGTATACTATATCTTGCTGGGAACTGTAATCTCATTTGCATATTTTTTTTACAGCACAACTTACTTTGCTCGGCCCACAACAACTGTTTGAGCCCAAGGCTGCATTATCTCCATGAATGAATCTTTGTCAAAGAAACCGGATTGCCAGTCATTAACATTATCTAGAAAAACATAAAAACATCACAAATAAATAACTGGGAAAAAAGCACTTTGGCATACTTGGTATGACAGGTCTACATGGGCATGTGAATATTTGAGTATGCATTTAATTGTATGCTCTCATATGCTGCTAATATACCGAATTAGTCACCAAAGATGACGTCATCAAAATTTGGCTGAGTGGCTATTAAAAGTTGTATACATCATAAAGTCCTATGCTAATGCATTGAGCATAGTCGAAAGTGTTGTCTATTAAATCGTCTAAAATGTAATGAAGTTGGTGTAGAAGATACTTTTTATAGATTCATGAGATTAAGGTTGATCTGATTTAAATTCAGACTAAAAATATGAAGAATTTCAAGAGGGCTTGTAGGGGGGCCTAGGCGAAGGACTTGCCACATCCAGCACTGACTAAGATGATGGTTGTTGATTTAGAGGTACATATTTAGCATAAATACTGTCACCAAGTCATTTTGTTGCAATATCTGTATGAAATATTTAAACTATTGGACAAACTTAAATTGCCGAATTGTAGAATAAGATGTTTCTTGTGACTACGACGGCCAATGAGTCAGAAGAACATAGTTTAGGGCTAGGCCCATATTCACGCGACGAGGCTATACAAAAATGTTCAAGTTTCCATTTGTTTCTTTCACTCCATTTCAAATCTAAGGGGTCAATACTGTGACGTTTATTAAATAAATATTCACCAAAGCTTTTTGATAAGTTATTTTACAATAGTGTACAAATAATTAAGTTTGAGGAGTTCAAAAACTGTCAAAATTTACTTGAGCGGAGGCTTATTATTGTGTGAAAAAACTGCTACCTAGTGGTTTGTTTTGATGTTATGCCCATTATAATGGCTTTGGTGTGGTGACTAATTCAATCTATTGTTAAAAATATTAAATAGCTGCTGTTCTTCAACCATCAGCTCAGTATGTGAATGGTTTTAATGAAGTGAGAGAATGTATATCATTATACCTGGGTGAGGTCGCCCAGCTAGCATATGCCTTGGATCATAAGGCGCCTTCGTTGGAACAAATTGAATCTCTCGGTCAACCACATCTACACTTGGTAGAACAGGAACACTCTCACCCCGGCACTTAGGCATATAGGAAAGCCATTTGAGTATCGTGTGGACGCCATGGAAGTCGTCACGTGCGATTGCGTGACTGACGCCATTATTGTGCATAATCTGGATTCCGCCAAGTTGATTGTTTGACGTATAAACTTCACGGCCAAGAACCTAAAACATTAGGAGAAAATGTAATAAGAGATATGGGATTCGCCAGAGAGAGTGATCAATCTCCTTACTAGTCTACTTTTGCATAATAACCTAATAAATTTTACAATTCAATAAGTCATAGACAGTTACCTTATTAAGAGCTTGGTTTCCTGTCAGGATAATTGGCGAGTTCTCGACTTGGACGATCCTCTGCCCTAGACGTACTACATAAGAACCAATACCAACTGCTCTACATGTCACCTGTATATGAATATTCAAAATTTGATTACTTTTTGCGTAGATGTGAAAGTACACTATGTAATCTGAAAAGATCTGTAGTTGTATCAAACAGGTGTATTGAATTGTTAACTTCAAGATAGGAAGTTTCATAAATGTTGTCCAGATTCAACAGACATGAAGACACATAAGAGTTTTTCAATCAGATATGTCTGAAGTAGGTGTACAATATCAGAGAAATTCTGATCAAACAAAATCTGAAAAAGTATACCAAACTTCATAAGTGTACACTCACCATATTGAGGGTAACAATCTCCTCATAGGCCCTAGATGAACCACCTGCAATCATTCCACTTCCTCTCAGATTCTCCACGCCAATGCCATCCTCTTGGCCTGCAAAAGTTAAGAGTAATTATTTACAATCAGTTGCACTGAAACAACAAACATCAGTAGTGTACATGTGTAACAAGAGAAAACAAGTCACACAATAGTATATAATGCAGACAGATAACTTTATCTCTCTTACCAATGATGTCAGTAATCTTGTATCTGGATTCTCCTTCATCTTCAATATGGATGGCATGTACAGAGTTCAAGCCATCCAGCTTCTTGTAGTCTTCAGGAGTCAAATATAAATACTTGAAGCCCTGCAAACAATTAATTATTAATATTGTAATTTAATAACTGGAAAACAATTCTTCTTGACTCAATGAAGTACATTGAAGATTGACTTTGAATGCCATTTCATACACTGTTAGTGATCACGTTTAGATATCATCACCGCCATAAGCAGATTTGATAAGCATGAAATTTCCAACACGAAACATTACAAAAAGAATGATAGAATTTTGTGTACTAATTCATGCATGATGCAATCAGTTTATTGAAAAAACTAGACATGGGTCCATCATATATTATCCTGAAAACATGTGACTGCATTGAAAATTTAAGTACAGACCTTTTCTGGGGCACTTGGATCCGTCCATGCTACTCTAAATAGTTGTTTTACTTCTTCCGCAAGACCAATTCTGGCACCACTGTTGGCAGATAAATAGATCCTTGGAATTCCTTGGGCACGAGCAATTTCTGATGCTTTCTGAAAGTGGAAATAGTATTAAAGCATGAATAATTCCAAAAACCAACATGCTTGATTATTTTTCATATTTTTATCACAAATTTTAGATTCTGCATAAATCAAGGGGTTTTGTTTCCAGCAACCATACATTGCTGAACAACTGCTTGGTCAGGGAGTGATTGTTTTCAGAACCAATCTCTGAGCAGAAGCTTTGTTAAGTGCTGGTTATTTCTAACAAGAAGCCTCTAAGCTGAGGCTGGGTGAGGGGCTACTTATGAGGGGTTCCTATTTTTTGCTTGCTACTCGTTGCTTGAGTCATTCTGGTTGGTTACATCCCTTTGTAAAAAGTTCCCCTTCTTAATCTACCATTGGTTTGAATATAGCTCACCTCAAAAAGAGTATCCTCTTGAGGACCAAACGATCCTATCTGATGTGTAATGTCATTGGCAATGACAACCACATCTCGACCATCTGTATATTCTGGTGTTTTGATTGTCATCTTCCATGCAACCATACCAATCTAAAAAATTATGATAACAACAATAACATAAATAATGTTTAATAATATACATAATAATAACAATAATTTATAATCTAACTTATATAAAAATAACTATAGAATACCATAATATTAAGTAACTACTATGAATATACAACTATAAAAAGTTAGAGGGTACCTTCATTAACAACATAAAGATAATAGTATTAATAATAACTGAATATCACAAATTAAATAATAGTACTGATATACTTTCTATAGATTATACTTTAAGCTGATCTCAATAGTACCAGTATAGACCTTAAAAATAGGATTATAAAAAATAAAAGCCTTCCATGGTACCAGGATTTTAAAAATCTAATACTGAGCAGTCATGCGGAAAATCCCTTCATTGCTGCAAGACAACTTTAAAGGGTCTGTTTGCTCACCGTGTTTTCGCCGTGCATTCGATTCATGGTGATCAGATTGCCATTACCATCGAGAACAAGCTCACTGCACGTGATCTGAGGAAGACATGTTCATATAAAGAAATCAATGAATAATCGTTGAACAATGAATCATAAATCATAGGGTGCAGTGGTAAAGTGTTCAGACTTTTAACCTAATGGTTGTGACCAATGTCATCACTATTTTTCTTTGGTCAAGAATTTTTATCTACGCTATTCTCTCCCCAACTAGATGTATAATTTGGTACCTGGTAGGCAGTTAAAATAATCTGTTGTTAAGTTAGCTGTGTGACATTGTACATGATTAATTATAAATGCAAATACTAGGAAGAAAATTGGAATTTGTATCACAAAATAAATTAAAACATTTACATTTTTTGATTTTTGTCTGGACATAATTCAACTTTGTACATTTAATAATTATATTGTATATATAATTGTATTATAACTCTATTACTGACATCGATACATAATGACAATAAAGATATATAAATTTCATTTTACTGTGGGCTCTCTATGAGCATGTTAAAAGTACAAAATATATATTTCTTAATGTTTTACTCACTGACATGACTACAGATTTTTAAAAAAGAATAATTGATGGACAAAATGGTTAATTCATCAATAGAAGAAAAGAAAATAATAGATGGATGGATGAATGGTTAATTCATCAATAGAAGAAAAGAAAATAATAGATGGATGGATGAATGGTTAATTCATCAATAGAAGAAAAGAAAATAATAGATGGATGGATGAATGGTTAATTCATCAATAGAAGAAAAGAAAATAATAGATGGATGGATGAATGGTTAATTCATCAATAGAAGAAAAGAAAATAATAGATGGATGGATGAATGGTTAATTCATCAATAGAAGAAAAGAAAATAATAGATGGATGGATGAATGGTTAATTCATCAATAGAAGAAAAGAAAATAATAGATGGATGGATGAATGGTTAATTCATCAATAGAAGAAAAGAAAATAATAGATGGATGGATGAATGGTTAATTCATCAATAGAAGAAAAGAAAATAATAGATGGATGGATGAATGGTTAATTCATCAATAGAAGAAAAGAAAATAATAGATGGATGGATGAATGGTTAATTCATCAATAGAAGAAAAGAAAATAATAGATGGATGGATGAATGGTTAATTCATCAATAGAAGAAAAGAAAATAATAGATGGATGGATGAATGGTTAATTCATCAATAGAAGAAAAGAAAATAATAGATGGATGGATGAATAATTCATTTCTTACCACATCATCTGGTGCCTCTTCATTAATGCCAGTCAATTTGCTATGCTCGTCCCACAAGTGAATCAAATTCTGTAAAGGCAATAATAATAATAATAACAACAGTAGTATCCAAAATAAGGGATAAATATATAAGTGTTTATATTCTAAATATTAAATGTGTATAGAAGACTTACCTTTCTAAACATATCTGGGAAATCGTACACATATGTTGTGCTGAACTTCGAAGCATTGTAGCGCTTCAGTTGTAGGTGGTCCTTGGTCATGTAGGACATGTTAAGCATCCGACCGTGGAGAGGGCCTTGTCTGGGTCCCTCTGACACAAACTTAATCTGAAGATTTAAAATATGAAAATTTATATATGGATACAATTGCTGTTTTCGTAATCATTAACAGTATATGGATACTGACAATATAAAGTGTCTTAATGTTAATGGTGATTACCAATTAATATCTTGGGATGTTGGTGTCATGTTTTACTATTTTATATATTATATATATGTGTTGTTTTTCATTATATATATCATTTTAGGAAAACAAATTCCATATAATTTTAGTATTGTGTTCCTCATTATCCTTTCGTAATTATTACAATTCATTGTGTGCTTTGAGTCAAATCTATAATTAAGATAAATAACACTACCTGGCTAGATGCAATATCAGTCACTTCTCTGTAAGAGCTTATGTCCAAATTGTAACCTGACTCATTGGTAATGAAGAAGCGCATAGCTATTGGTTCACTAGTTGCATTTTTTCTGTAATGGTAAGAAAAAGAGAATATCATCTAATACATCTTCGTATATAGATAATAAATAAAGAGTAATGATTTGGATTCCTCGCTAGGGAAACTCTCATTTCACTCAGCTACAATTGAGTAACTTGTTAAAATATAATAGGAAGGACACCCAATGCCAAGGCTTAGTATGACACAAAAAAATAACTCTAACCAGATAACTGTAGGTGTTCATAAACCTTGGAAAATAAAAAAAAAAACACATTGCTTTTGTATACACACAGTTATCTGAATTTACAACTATACATTATCAAGATTGCAAGTTTCTTTATTAGCACCTGGAATGAGTTATACTTACTTTACATTAAATCGGAGTTCAGCTTGCAACACTCGTAACTTCCACAATCGCGACCCGTAACGTAGCACCATTGACCTCATACTTTCTTCAATTTTCATCGGATCCATGATGACAGATGGGACAAAGTTCAAGAAGATATGGTTGCAATCTGTGCGCTTTGACTGAAATGTTGAGAAAAAAGGTGTGAAATCAATTATTCAATTACGATATATTATATTCCTTTATCAATTCAAGCTCCCTAACGATCTTTTTGGTTTCTCCCATTCTTGTTTTAACAATCCTTTTCAAATCTTTCTTTCTATTATACCCATGCACTTTATCTATCTTATGACTGCATCCCTAACCCTAAACAATTTCTAACATTAAATTTCTCAACATATACCTTGGCTGAAAAAATAAATGCAAACATCTACTAAACTATGCTTATTCTTATTATGAATAACAGAAATTTATACTAACATTTGGATGGGAGAATGCCAACTCCAGTTCATCCAAGGCTTCCAGTAGCATCCTCTCTCCCTCTTTCTTCAGGTAATCAAATGAGGCCTCTTTGGTAACCATATCTGAGTGCCGGATGATGGCACGCACAAAGAATCTGTAGTCTGTCACTTCACGACCTTCTTCAACCTGAGCAAATGATAGTAAAGAAAATGAATAACTTAATATCTTAGTTACTACTCTTCCAAAACATATATCAGAGCATTACTAAACAGTTCATCATGAAAGGATTCAAATACTTTAAAAGGGGTTTTCCATAAAGTGAACAGTGGATTTTGTTGGGTTTGTCCAGAAATGAAAATCATTATAGTAATTATTATATCTATAACCATATATAATACTGACCTTAGCTGACCCTAAATAGAGGTGCATCCTGTGACTTGCTTTGTCCATGGCAACCAGGTCAAAGTTCCTCATACGGTTGATCTCAAGTTGGAAAGCCAGAGCAGGCTCAAGGTGTCGGTAAATGGGATCTTCACCAAACTAAATATAAAAGATGAAATAGTAAAAATTATCTATAATCAACTCATTCCTTCATAATAATGTGACTTCTTTACTATCAACATCATCAATATCATCATCATCATTTTAGTACTTCATAAGACTTACATCCAGCCTTGCTCTGTATGTGAAAAATTTAGGAAATTCCCTCTTCTGCAGGCAAACAAATGTTATTCTACGAATGTCATGGCTTCTTAGCATATCCACCTGTCATGAAAAAAAAAAAGATGTAAAATTAAAAAATTAAGAAAATTCACTCAAGACTTTTATTGTAAAAGAAACTACAGAACAAGATAATCCCTGAGTGTAAATAAAGGTTATTATGACAGGAATAAAAAAAAAACAACAAAAAAAGTTAAACCACAAAAATAATTACATGAAAAAAATATATTTTTAAGACTGAAAAGTTTAACAACAATAGAAGAATTATCAAATAATTTCTATACAAGTGTATGGCTTACCTTATCTTGACAGAATTTGTAGAACTTTTCAGACAGGATCTTGTCATCCTTCTCTTCTATGACATTGATCGCAATGTTCAGTATATGTATCGGCTCATCAGTGCAATTCTAGTATTAATGGTTTTAGAAACATGAGAAAATCAAAGACTACAGTTCGTACACATCCAAATGTGGCATGAAAATAACTCATAGATTGTAAAAAGAATAAATTACAGAAATAATTCATGTATTGTAAAAAAAAATAAATATATTCTGGCAAATAATTATATAATAATGAAAAACATCGTTCTGGAGAAAATGATTTGTATATAGAGAGGAAAATGTTTCATATATTGTGAAAAAAAAATGATCCATATTGTTGAACCTTGTTCATATATTGTGGAAAATTATTCATATATTTTAGAAAAGGATTCATACATGTATATTGTGGAAATTGAGTAATATATTATTGAAAATATTTCATATAATGTTGGGCAGTCATTTCGTATATTGTAGAAATAGTAAGTCCTAGCGTACATTTTATTTACTTACCTTTTCTGTATGACTGTCATACAAATCCTCACCAAACTCCCCTAATTTCATCTTCATAAACATCCCAATGACCTCCTCAAACAAACTGTTGATAAATTAATCAAATTATTAATATTTATTTAATTTTCTGTACTAAACAAATTAAACAAATCGGTAGTGATATTCTTAGTCTATGAGTGAGAAACCTGGATATAATCTGAATCACACACTGTTCCTTTAGATGAACAACCCCATAAAGAAAATAGAACTTTACTCATTCCTTGGAAAATCAAAAATTGTTGAGCATTGGCACAGCCATGTGGTGCTAGCGATGGATGGTCCTATTTACTTTGTAGGTGTTAATTTAAATGAAAAATTGAAAAATTACTTTAAATATTACATTGGTGGTAATTTTAACATTGCTTTAAGGAAGTAGACGTGTCAGATTACTTAAGACCTACTTTTCACCTAAAAGGTTGGTAACTTACAGCTCAAATTCATCCATACTCTGGAAGGCACACATAACACCCATGCGCTGACATGGTGGCAGTTTGACGTCATGATCGAGGTCAAGGTCAACCATGTCTTCACTGAGGCTTGCCACTCGAGTCATTGGACTTGTCCTGGTCTGTGCCATCCTATATAAAATTAATTATCAATTGTAAAACAATAGCTTATACAATGTAATCATTTTGAAAATAAAGCACTGCAAACCATTATGGGAGATGCAGTCTTATACCTTATATTTATTGATCACAAAAAAAATTGTATCTGTAGTATAGTCAATTTGCATTGTTACCAGTTTGAATATAACAACTGCATTATTGGAGTGCAGTAGTATATTATGGTAAACAGTAGTAAGAAAGTAGTATTTAAAAATTAGTAAAATGTATACTCTAGCTCACAGTGCACTGTGGTTTGACAGCCCAAAACCAGTGTACTGTAGCCAAATGCTAAACTGAGTAATTAGCACAAGAATGTGGCAGCATCGTATACTTTAGTACAGAGAAGCTGTAATGCTTTTACTTTGACAATAGTAAATTGATTCCAGTAAATGACTCATCCTTTTTAAGCTTATAATATAGAGAATATGAATATATTAAAGTTAATTTTCTTGTTTTGGTCACTAATACGGGTTTTGGCATGGTAAGCCGCATATTAAAACCAATCTATTACCAAAGCTTAGGAAAAACAGAAATTGCCAAATCCAGAAACTGTATTCCAGCAAGTAAATCAAAGCAGAACAAGGGCAAAAAACAAACCACTAACAACAATCAGAAAAATTTAAGATCAAAAAAAGTTCAGTCATGTGTGCTGAGACATTTTTATTTTGAATATCTTGTAAAGTATCTTTTACGAAGGCATCTTGTAAACTACAAATTAACATTACGCTGTCATTAACACTAGCACCATGGATTATTAACACTAGCACCATGGATTATTACCAAAGACTAAAGAGAAGGAAGCTGTCTTGCTGTTTAAGAAACAGAAAAATGTTAAAGAACATTTAGAGCTACATAACACAATAGCACCCTCTACCATAAGATAAAGCATTTGCAATCACATAACACATATGTCAGGTGTCATAACAAAACAAGTCTTGTATGTCAGGTCAACTTTATATATTCAAGAAAATATATCTGAAGTGATATTTAAAAAAAAAATCAATTCAATTCAATTCTCATCTATCTAAATATCAATACTTCATTTTTCATTTTTTTGTACCACAGTGGTATGCTTTTACCAAGGTAGATTTTTCCAATGTGAACAGCCCTCTAGTCTGTAATGTCTATTTATTTATTATTATATTTGTCTAGTCTTGTACTTTAATATACATATCTTGCAAAGAGCAACATTCAAGTTGGTTAACACAAGAGAAAAGATAACCACTGTGTGTGCAGTGAACCATAGAAATCATTGAGTCCATAATTCTATCCTGATTTCTGATGAGTTCCTGATGATGACATAATTAATGTTGAAATATTGAATCCCAACATAATGGCGTGCATTTCAATGCTTGAAATTATATATTATACTTTCTTAGTTTCATCTCTCCTTGTAAAATACAGGTTATAGCATGAAGTTTGTATGCAGTAAAGTTTATATTAAAAATATGAAACATAGTAATTACAGTAACAATAGAAATAATAACACTGAGAATAATAATGGTAATAAACGATAATGATTAATGATAAAAATAATAAGGAGGTCCTAAATATCGCCAGTATTTTATATTAGATGTGTAGATTATACTAATAACTATTATGATAATGTCAACAATAAAATTGACAATAATGTTAATAATTAAAAAACAATCAGCCCTCGTATCAATTTTAATGGACCAGTCCACTATGCACCATTTAGATATTGTTGCTAAGATACTAGGTACAAAGATCTTTGGTTGCAAAATTTTTAATAGTTTTTAATAGTTTGTGGTAGATGATGTACCGATTTATCTTTATCGAATTATAACTTAAGTTTCCAGTTTTTTTTCAATAGAATTATCTTGTGTTTTGCAATTCTTTTTCAAAGGGTCAATTCTACATATTTGGAGAGTGTATTGCTGTTACAATTACTTACCAGTTGACGTTTGCCTATGATATAATTAAAATAATAGGTCATGGTGCACCAACTCATTATATTTATTCCTGTTTACTGAAATAATTTGTCATAAAACAAACATGACGAAGAAAAACAAACAGAAATAAACCATGCCTCTAGAAGCTAGACTCCATAAAATATAACAACTTAAGAGAGATAAACAGAATAATGCAAAAACTATAATTTCTACATGCATGCAAATTACATATGCAAATTACATATACATCTGTAATTTACCTCCTTATCTTCAGAGAGTTGATGCTGTAGGGAAAATATAGTGTCAACAAATTAAAAAAAGACAAATGATTCATTTCAAGGCTGATCTGTCCTAAGAGGAAGGGGAAACCTGCTTGTCCACGGAATAAAATTTAAGTGGGACAAATTATTCAAGGTATGAAATGTCAAAAACCTATTTTGAGAAAGTGCAAAATGTCTTTTTACAACAGAGAGGTTGCACTTTATGAAGAAATTAAAATTTTCTTCCTAGTTGAGAGTCCCTAGAAATACACACCTAAGAAATGATGTTAATAATGATGTAGGTTGATGATACAATAAAAAAATAATATTAATAAATATCAAAATTATTAAAAACATATCAAACAGCCATAGATATCAAAGAAAAAAGGTCAATCTCAAATACACATGGAAAAAGTGTCGACCTTGTAAAATACAGTTACATTTCAGGATGTGCTGATTTTATCAAATTTGATGTAAGTTACATCAACATTTCAAAAACATTTGAATATCAACCTTACACAATTGTCTCTTTGCTTATTCAGTCTAACTAGAATTTAGTTTATACTTAACAGGGCTGTGTGTTAGTTGAATGCTACTCTTACCTATTAGGGTGAGATGAAGGTAACATGAACTGGAACTGAAGAACGCAGCGACCACCACTCAGTGATGCATGCTGTAGACCATTCACATCATAAGCAATGTAAGCTCTCCTCACATAGACCTGAAAAGAAAGTATTATTTATTATCAGTGATATATTAAAATGGCTAAAGATATAAGCAAGTGTTTTTTGAAGATGATAATGTGATGATAATTATGATAATGATGATGCTAATTATGATAATGATGATCATGTTGACGATGAAGTTGCAGATGCTAATAATAATGGCGGTGACGATGATAACAATGACACTGCTAATTGTTATTGACAATCCAAAAAAATTAGATGATATTGGTGAGTGTTTAGATGAGTGGATCCTAATCCTAACTCGGTGTAAATTTGTAGAATGTTTTTGTTTAAAATGGTGTTCAGGACGACTAACTTAAATAGTAATTCAGTTTACTTTTTTGGAATCCCTTTTTGGCACTGTTTTCAATCGAAATGTTTTTGGTTTTGTTTGTTATGCTTGTTAAATGAGAGAAAATAAATGAAATGAAAGTGGATAAGCAGGGTGATTAAAAAATAGATGTTAAAAAAGGAAATTAATATATTCTTGAGAAATCGTTCACACTGACGATCAAGATAAGACTGAGGATTTTATTAGTATTGATGGACAGTACCTCAAGTGCAGCTCTCTGGATCACTTCATTACTATGGTAGAAAAAACTTGGAAGAACGTCAAATACAGCAGTCTCAGACATGATCACTTTCTGCAAAACATCAAAAGCAAAAATACACTTGAGAACCTGCAGCTTGACAGGAAGTGTTAATGAAAAGGATGATCACAATAAGATCACAGAATACTCCACAGTATGCATTGGAAGAAATGACAGCAAAAGTTTACAGTACAATAATGAATACTAATAATGAATACTTACTTTAAGACTGTCAGGACAGAACTGGTGGCCATACATATCAATAGCACTTAGGAAGATGGATTCAACCTGATTGTGGCGTACTTCGTACGATGGTTGATGGGCTGCGATCAGCACCTGTCTCGCTCTCAGCGCTACCTTTGAGTTGTCCTGCTTATTCAAGCTTGTTAGTTCTCCGATGATGGAGCTTAATTCGTCAATCAGTCCTGGCTCTTTTTTACATAAATGATCCTAAAAAAGATGACAATTATTTTAAGTAAAAGGCCCAATTGTTTTTTATGATTAAATGGACTGACATTAGGTATTCTGTAATACAAAGAAAACTTACGATAAGCATAGTAACTAGAATGTTCTTCTCCTTGACATTGTAATGTGAGAAGATGTACTGGACTGCAGACTCCATGTCGCCCTTCTTCTGATCAATGAGGGCGGTAATGCACTTATCATATGGTCCATGCTGGAACAGTTTCTCCACAGCAAGGTACTGCTGAAGAAGGTCCTGGATCACCGACTTCATGTGACCTCTGATACCATTACGATATCTATCAACAAGATAATTCAAGGGTTTAGGTTCAAATCCATAAAAAAAAAATCATTTTTGTAGCATTTAAATTACTTTAATATTTACAACAATGCATATCACTTCATGACCACTTTATTACCTCTGGACAAGTTGAACAATTCCCTGAGTATGAAGGAAGAAGGCATCACGGTCTGATTTCTTAGCCAATGTTGCTGCATGCCTGTCAATAACATTTGCAATCTATAAAAAAAATATAAAAATGGTAATTCATTAAACAAGAAAGTTGAATATTTTGTCGCATGTTGCCATAAAGTCAATTTTATAGCCATATACATGAAATGCAACATAAAAATCTAAAACCCCTAAATAAATGGGTCTTGGGCATAAATTTGGTCAAAAAGTTCATTGTACCAAGGCAGAATACTAATGGCTATTGCAGCTAAAAGTCAGTGCCAAATATTTAAGCAGACAATTTTATCCAATCAGACACAACTGTGGCTATGCTAACTTAACTTAATTTCAAAAACCATGAGCATATTTTAATGTTTAAAAATTTTAATAACAGAAAAAATTAAGCATTCAGAAACCTGTTGACTTGGAAACTGGCAAAGCACAGAGGTAATATTGCTGTTGTACTGGTTCAGTAGTTTCTTGATTTGTTTCTCCACATTGCTAGGAACACGACCAACAATGCTAGAAACCATTTCTTGCATTTCCAGCAAGGGTAGTGCTGGGTTACGGACTGACTTCATAAACATCTGCACATACGCTTCACACTGGAAAGAATGAGTAAAAATTGAGTTTTTTGCATACATTGTTTAAGTTTTGCATATATATTTAAGTCAAACCAAGTTATAAATTATAACTAGTTTTTAAAATGTGAACTCTGTTGACCTACCCTTTCTTCAAAGTATGGCTCTGGTAAGCAGTAGCCACTCATGATGTTGTCAAGTGCCTCCTTAGCTTTGTGGAAAATTTGGTGCAATTTTGAGCCATGCACAGATGGCCCTTGCGGAGCTGGGCATTTACCAGTGAAGATTTGAGCCTGAAATAACAATATAAATGTGGTTACGCTATATAATAATAAATAACTAATAACGCGACCAGGGAATCTAAAAAGGAATTAAATAATTAGGAGTATATAACAGAGTTTTAATGCATTTTCAGGCACAACAATTTTGAAAATATTAAACAAATATCAAAATGTGTGAAAACAAATTTTATAACAATAGAAAATAATAGCATTTTTTGGGATAGAAAAACAATTTTGAATGTAGAATGGTGAGATCATGGCTAGTGAATTCAAACATAATTATCAATACTGACCATCCGTCCTCAACCACTCTGAGGCTCATCACCATTTTCATCACTTCAATCTCAGCATACGGTTGGCCTGCAAAACAATGTCCGCCATCTTCTACAGTGAATTGGATCAGCTTGCCAGCAGAGGGAGAACGCAAGATTGTTGGATCATTCTCCTTCTCAAACACACAGGTTTGGTTGCCAATAGTGATACGGTAACTAAAACAAGGCAAAAAGACACTTAACTGTATAATTTCAAAAATTTGTGAATAGTCAGATTTACTTTCATTATTAAAATTATTATTTAATATTGATTTATCATTATCCATATTATTATTGATCTTTATTATCATCATCATCATCCTTATACCTGTCAACTTGTTCCTTCATGTATGTTGTGTAGCAATTGCCATCATATGAAATGAGCAGCCCTCCATCTGTTAGGTGATGTACCTCAACATCAATGTACGAATCATTCAAACATATGAAGTACACATTTGGACCTTGTCGGATTACTTTAGCGACGTACTTCACACCCTCCTGAATCAGCTCGACCTCACGCATACTGTTTAGCGTACTACATGATAGCACTTGACCTCTGAAAGGTTATGGAATGGTAAATGAAATTATTGGGATTGCGATTTCAATTATCAACTACAATGCGTATATTTCAACAAATGACTGAAATCACAGGTTATGTGTGTTATCACAGCCAAACAAAATATTAAGAATCTGCATGTTTGTACTTTTAATACACACACACAGGATGAATTCAGGGTTAACAAAAGTATAACATTTGAAAAATTTAATAAATTACAGTAAAACTATTTACACTACTTTATCATACACAGATTAATAAATAATCTTGGTATAGGGATTTATACCGTGCATTTTTCGAAGGGATACAAGACACTGGCGATGTTATTATTACCCCTGGTCATTGGATCCAAAATTTAAAAAAAAATCAAAGTGCGACCTCCATCACCCCGGGGAGTATTCCAAGGCATGCTTGCAATTCCATGCCGATACAGACTAACACATTCAATGCCACATCACCCGAACCAGGTACCCATACTCCTGGGTGGAGAAAGGTAAAGTTCCTTGCCCAAGGACACAAGCAAAATTCACAGTGAAGGTTTGAATCTCCGCATCTTTTTGACATGGTCTTCTTCTCAAAATAAGGCCCATTGGGCTTCTATCTAATGTGTAACGGTATATCACCCCATGTAACCTTGAGTTACCTTTCAAGGGAGGCTTGATACTCAGCAAAATTGTTCTGAATTGATGTATCAGCTACATGTATGCAACCAACAACGACACCAAGCATTGTGTCCGGTTTCTCAGCCTAAAGATAAAAAAAAAAAATCTTTTTTATGAAGGTTTTGATCTTAAGAGATATTATTTAAAAAAAGTATTAAATATATGACTTTGATGGGCTAAATCTAAGACAGCCATCTTGTACTAGAGTATATCAATACATAAGGCTGCATTTTGGAACATAGAATGTATTGAATTAGCATTCTTGTTTTTCTATAATTATTCTGTGCTTTTTATTCAATTTATTAAATAATATGTTGATATGTAAATGCCATATTTACACACAACATTTGCTTCAAATACAATCACATACCGTTTGTTTCTCAGCGATGAGTTTGTCCAGCCAGCCAGTATCGAACTCGTTGTTTTGGAAGTTGTCAGTTTCGAGAAGTTTGATGAGATACTCGACAGTTGTCCTGAAGTCACCTCTGATCGAGAGCTCCTTTAAGGCTACCACCATGCTCCTATCAAGAGAGGGCAGTGTTTTCATATCAACAAGATAATATGAATGGTGAACAAAAAATTATCAAAATGTAGAGAAACCAAATACTAGGAAAATGAAACTGAAATTTCGTCAACATTGAAAAAAAACACAAAAAAAGTTTGATTTAAAGGAGGGAATAAAACATGCTTGAAGCCACATTCACATCAAATTCTAACTGAAATTCGGACCGCATTTCCAATGCACTGAATGCCAGCCTCCCTATTCTTACAAACTAATTTGATTTTCTGACAGTTCATTAGGCCTTCTGATCAGAAAATTCAAATTTAATGTGAATGTGGCTTCTGTTAATTGGTCAAGCAAATAAGATAAACAGAGAATGTAAATCCATCACATAACTGGTTTAAATGCTGGAATGAAAAGTGCCTTTCGTAACACAGAATGTTGGTTCTGAATAAACAAGAAATGTTTAAGTAGTAGACGTACAAAATGCTTGATTAAAAAGGAAAGCACAACTTACTCTCTAGCTTCTTCACGATCCTCGCCATACGAGAAACAATGTCCAAACTGGGAGTCGGCAAACTCATGAAGCCCACCGGATGCGCTAACACTGAAATAACCCCAAACATTCTTATTGCTGCGGAAATTTAGCTCTTGCACTGTTCCAGAACTTGGCTTGAAGCCCTGAAATCAGAGAGAAAAGGGATAGTTATCAATGGTAACACATATTTTAGTATATTAATATCAAATATACTAATCTGTGTGGATGAAGACTCAACATTTTATTGCACAAATATACTATAAATCAAATATGCTATAAATATATGTATATTTGTTCATCCATACGGTCATATAATTTTTAAAACAGTACTCATAGGAGAGATGTTTTGCGCTACCTGTAAGTTATCATAACGAATACTCAATTCGCAAGTGATTCGGGTGGGAATTGAACTGGAGGTCGTGGGTTTGATTCTCCCCCTAATCACTTGCAAATTTTTTTGCGCATGTATTTGGGAAGATACTGAGTATTCGGTACTACTGTATAATACGTCGGACAGGGCAAAACGTCACTCCTGATATTTTCTGACGCAAACACACATCAAAACAGTGCTCAAATTATACACACCTCATCTGGATTTTCACTGGTTATTCTGGCAGCAATTACAGCACCCTTGGGCTCAACTGGATTGGTTGGGCTGTGAAGGTTTTAATGGAAATATAAAAGTAAATATACATAATTAAATAAATATAAACTTTGATAGATAGACAAAAATACACAAAGCAATCAATTCACCAAAAGTACATCCAATACAATGTATTTTTTAAATTTTATATTTTATTTTCAACTAAATCAATTAAATAAACTGGCTAAGTATAACAGAAATGATTTCAGAAAAAACAAAAAAAAAAAAAACCCCAAGGCCATGTTTAAAAAAAAACAAAAATGATATAGAACTTAATTACAAATTGAATGCTTTCTTACTCATCAAAATCAATGAGGGAATCACCAAATGGATTTTCTCCATATAATGTACGGATGTCTTTAGTTCGATGAAGAGGAATACCCATAGCAATCTGTGAAAAATAAGTACACATTAGCATAAAAATGCAATAAAAATTTAAAGGAAATAAAAAATTGCAAAACAAAGCAAACCAAATTATAATTTATGTTAATATTAATTATAATTTAAGATATTTTGTGATTTTGTCTTTCCATTTCTTTAGAAAAAGTTGAGGCTAACAGGAGGGACTTGGCCTGTCCGACAAACGCCTCCACTAGCATCCTTTAACCAAAATACACTCATGGTAAATTGCCTGTAACAATCATAGATACAAATATTCAAAATTGTGTTTGAAAAGTATGTTTCAAGATTTCTATTATAAACCAGGCTTCAAGTTTTACATTGAATTGTAATTAAAACAACATAACAAGAAATTTTAATATAATTTGTACATTCCAATGATTACTTTATGTTCATAAATTACATTACACCCTTACATCAAATTTACATTACAATCACCTTCTCTTGACAGTTTTAAGACACAACTCGAGATGCACCTTTTTTAATAATTTTTTTTTTTTTTTAAGAATGGCACCATGAGCAACAACTGGTTGGATGGTGCCATATAAATGGAACGATTGATTGACTGATTGATTGATTGACATTATGCTAGTATGCTGTTAGGTAAAGTCTTTTATGCAGACCTGTAACTGTAATGCCGGCAAGTTGACCCCAGCAACCATCTCTGTACAGGGATGTTCCACTTGCAGACGGGGGTTCAACTCTAAGAAGTAAAACTTGCCCTCTTCATCATTGTAAAGGTATTCTACTGTTCCAGCACTGACATAACCAACCATTTTAGCTAACGTGACAGCAGCCTAAAAAATAGAAGCAACTATAAGTAATGGAGCCACGAAAAACAAGGAATATACAATAGTTTTGAAGTAATATGGACTGGTATCTGAAACCAGACACATCTATGAAAGTTTCTGTAGTATAGTGGAATGGTCATAATGGGATAGGGGAGAGGATGGGAGGGGAGGATTGGTGGCTAAATAGGCAATGAAATGATTGCTAAGGTAATCATGTATCATATTAATATACAGTTGGTATCACTACCTTTTCCATCTCTTTGAAAACATCTGGTTTTGCTATAGTTGTTGGAGCCTCTTCAATGATTTTTTGGTGACGACGCTGAATGGAACAATCACGCCCAAATAAGGAAATTGCATTTCCATATTTATCAGCAATCAATTGCACTTCAAGATGACGGGCACTTTTGGATGAAGAAAAAAATCAATTAATTGATACAAAGGTGTGTAATTATTCTACTATTAATATTTTGAAGATGTTTGAAAGTATTGTTCATACCTTTTTGCCAACTTCATAACAAAAATTGGAGAGCCAGGAACTTCGTTCTGAACTTGCTTAAAAAGGCTTGCAAAGTCATCACCATTCTCTACCATACGTATACCTTTACCTCCACCTCCTTCCGATGCCTTTATCATCACAGGAAAACCAATACGCTGGGCTTGCTATAAACACAATTTGGTGGATAAAACATTTAACAATTATGTGAATATAATGGCACTAGGGAAAATTATATGTTAATTTCAACTGAGGTTATTTATAAGTAACACAGACTATCATATAAAATGACAACAATTTTTGGTAAACAAACGTTTACCTGTAAGCCAATATCTGCGTCGGTGACACAACCTTTCTTGTAGATGCCTTCTGGCACCGTAACTGCCTTGTTTTTCTTCGCATCATCCTTAGACCAATCAACAGTGAGGCCATCTCCGCTCCATGGTAACGTTGGCACTCCAGCACTTTGAGCCACAATCGAGGATGCTATCTTGTCACCTAGCGCCCACATAGCATGTTCAGGAGGGCCTAAAAGTATAATAGTATAACAGAATAATATTTTGATCACCTTTTAAATTTCATTATTATATTATCATATCAGTGTAATATATATTTTTTCAAATATGCAAAAAATCTCTCATTAAAGAAATACATTGAATTTATCATTTAAAAGATCAATCACAGATTTAAAGATATTTAATAAATAAATTATGCTTCTATGCAGAAATACAGGATCAATATTATTATCTATTAATTAGCAAAAAATAATATTTTCTCATAACAATTTCCAATCCATGGTTTGGGAGTCAAGATAGTATTCTTGTTCATGGTTCTGTTTAAAAAAATTCTCTAATATACAGTAACCATTAAATGCTGAGAAATGGTACAGGCCTATTTCAAAAGTATTCATGACAACAGGTCAATGTTTATATCATTATGTCAGAGACAATGCAGTCATCCATGACAAATGCACAAGTCTTGTATTGACAGCGCTGTTTGCAAAATGGAAAACAGTTCACCACAGCAAAACAAGACTAACTCTTTAACAATGAAATAGAGTGCATTATACTCTGTTTACAATAGACACATCGAGGAAGCTATATCAAATGTCTAGACATTTATTTAATTTTTTTTTTTTCCTTTTCCAGTTTTAAACCGAGGACCCTGGGATTTGAAGATAAGCATCTTAACCACCAAGCGACATTTCACTTCCTATGCCTCAAGATATCTATTTCACTACGGACCTCGCCATAAACAACACCAAGGTGCAGCACTACTTTTATCAGTAGCAGGACATTTTCAAATGTTTTATATAAATGCAAAAGAAAAAACCAAAAAGCTATTATCTTAATTATACAAAGTAAACAATCATATTATAATGAACAAGTTTGTGAGTATAATTTGTAAAAATCAATTAAATCAAATTCTTTTAATATTCCTTGCAGTTTCTGAATTAAGACAATACCCGGAAAAGAAGTTGATACTTTAAGGGTTTCAACGCAAAGCTCAACAGAAATGGGGAAGCCCTATTCCAGAAAACTCTAGGCATTTCCATGCATTTTCCATATACGGTATTCCACAAGAAATATTGTCTGAAAGATAGGATAGGAAGTACCACCAACTTCAAGCTACATTAGATACGAGAGCACCAAATGCCTTCCTTACCAGTATAATAAATCATTAAATACTTGCTTTTTAGAAGTTTTGATTATGCTGTAAATTTGTTAATGTTGATTATTTAATTTTTGTTTTTGATATTATATATTTGGGATGTTAGATTCTTATTTCAGATCTTACATGTGCAAATCTTGTTAAAATTTCAAATATCAGTTGTTATCAATTTTTTGGTCATTTACACAATTTTGTGTACAATGCCATTCAATTCACCTCTTAATACTCGAAAAAGATTTACTAGTACAGTAACGAATTCTATAATATGGGGTCTGCAAAATAAAATGAGCTTGAGTTATATTGTTGAAGGGTGTAATATAATTCTCTTCCGTGAAAATTTAACAATTGAAAATATATAACTGAATACATACACATCCTGCACCTGACTAAACTGAAACAAAAAGGGAAATCCCCTTCTTAGGGTAACCTAATGATGTGCTCTACTGAGGTTTATAAAGATCACCAATCAAAAGCATTCAAGCATGACCAAAGAGTCAATGAAGGCAAATATGCCAAACTACTGTTGACTTAAGAGGTTTCTTTAAAGTGGACTATATTATTAGCCACTTCCCTCTACTGTGTAATATAACTATTTTTACATGTTTCATTTATAATATCAGAAATGTAACTTTACCAATGAAAGCAATGTTGTTTTTGTGGAGGAGTTCTGGAAGCTTAGGGTTCTCAGAGGCGTGGCCCCATCCTGCCCATACAGCCTGTACTTGCACACGCTTGGCGATGTCTAGGATCAACACCACATTCGCATAATTGTTATTGTTTGTTCCTCCTGGTACCGGCACATACTGGTCAGCCATGCGGATATATTCTACAGATAGGGAACAAAAAATGTTGTTGTTTGATATTTTATATTATACATTTGGCATAGTTACAGGCCAGGGGTCAGAAAAGTAGGTACCCTCTGTTGCCAGACAGACGTGCAATTCTCTTCAGCTCCCTCGCCAAGACTGTAAAAAAATTTAAGAACTAGAAGGTGGTAAGACAAGCACAGAAATGCCACAGGCTTATACTAACTGCCATAAGCCTGTCAGATGGATGGACCTAGTACTGTATTATAGTATGTGAAAGTATTTAGCTAAATGTTTTTAGGGAAAACATTGCTCAATGCCCAAGAAGTAACTTGTAGCAGGCCTCTTATTGCAACTCTCTTCTTATGCTTTTTCAAGAACTTTTAGTAGTGGTGATTCTTTACAGCCCTATTTGATTTCAAAACTGAAATATTAGCAAAATTATTCAACCCACCAGCATTAGCTTTCAAATCCTCTGGTGTAACCATGACAACAAATTTGATGGCTTTCTCGTTACGGAATATTTCATAGCTCCATCTTCGTATAGACCTCATACACTTCACAGCAGCGATGCCATTATTGGCAATTAGTACCTAAAGAGAAAAAAATGAATTCAACAAAATATTTATCATTGTAAGATGAATGTTATCAAACAAAATGGCTTCACTAATGTAATGTTGTGTGTAAAAGAACACTGTTAAACAAAACTATTAGCACTTGTAAGAGAGTTTATTAATAAAATGAAAATATTTTCCTTACTTAAAGTCAAAGTAATTACAATAATTCCGATTTATTAGCAACAGCATACACCTGGCAGAAAATTTATTTTCAGAGCAAAAGTCTGAATTTATCAGAAAAAATTAAAAAGTATAGGATTCCACACCTTAACATCTACAAACTTCCTGTGCAATGTTTCCTATTTAGATACTTTACTACTCCTATACAATTACTAGTGAAAGACAGTTGTGGGTAAATAAAAAGAATAGACATCATACAAATTATATTAATTATATACCCTGTATCAGTATATTAACAGTCTTTTGTATTATTCTATGAAACATCACAAAGATTGTTTTGCTGGTAACAATAAAGGCTCCTCATAAATTCAAATTTTTTTGGTAATATTTACCAAAAAATATGTATTTATTTTAACTACATATTTTATTAAATCAACAGTAATCCTCTTCATTTAAGCAACCACTTACTTTGTTGATGACATAGTTTCCTCCAAATTTATTGACAAATTCAGCAGGTGTTGCCACGCTAGCCATTCCTCTCCTGGAATCGGAGCCCTGAGATTGCCTTCTGCCGTCCAATTCAATGAGATTCAGGCCGGACATGGTAGGCCTACAGTAGGTTAAAAGAATATCCATTTCTGATAGGTTTCAATTTCACTTTGTCTTGTGAGTCACTAAACCCATTCTATATATGTTTTAAAGGGCTCACTCTTGATTGGCGTAATCTCACAATGCAAATGATGTTAGTTCATTCACGAGTACCAGATAAATGGCTGGTATATTTTCTAATCCTAGGGAAATTGTTGGTTTACATCCGGATCCAGGGATCCTGAGTTTAAACATGTAAACTCCCAAAGCCTCAGAACAGGATATGGTACTATAATAGAGCATTAGAACCAAATGATTGGTTTTCCTGGACAGGTCCAATTACCATATTATCCATAATTTCAGTAACAATCACAAGTATTTTGCAAATATTTGAATTTCCACAGTATAAATAACTATGTTTATTGTCATGGTGAAAGATAATAATCTCTGAAAGTTTAAAAAATGATGAGTGCTTATGAACATACCTAATAGTAGGTAACAATTAAATCAATATTAGCCTAGAGTTCAATGACTTCCCAATTATTGTTGACATTGAAAAATAATTTACAGTGGAACCTTGATTTAACCTACAGTATGAGACTAGTAAGGTTAATGGTAGAATTCATAAAATAAGGTCAAGCTATTGACAACAAGTTATCTAAATTATATTTATATATTACCCAATGTGTTTTTTAGAAAGCCTCAATAATTATTAGTTTACTTTTGGGACAGAATAAACTTGGTATCAAGCATTGTACACAAAATAAGCAAAGATGAAAAAACATCCATGCTTTCAACAAATCACACTTTTGATAACCATATACAAAATATGTCTACAGTATATCCCTGGAAAGTGCTTGTGAAGTTTCTCTGAAATGTAAAGCTACCATGGATATGAAGTATGCAAAAACAAGCTTAACTTGTCATCAAAAATACTAAAACTGCCATTTATATGTCAAAGGTGTATAAAAAATGTGAACTGATAAACTTGAGGTTCTACATAATTATAAATAATTACCTGTATATTCGTCTGGCTGACTGCATTCCGCTGGCTTTTGCAGCAGCTGTTGTATCAGCGGGAGCACTCTCAGACCTAAATACAAAGAAAAACATTAGTAATGTTACCACCCCTATGTCTGCATGCTAACATTCATGTGATGAGTTTTGAAAATGTCAACATCGCTAGTTCAAAGTCAATAAAAAAAAATACCTGTTGCAAAATATATTTATAATCTATATAGCAATAATTACCTCAACTACCAAAGTCCCTATACGCCTACTGAAAAATCTCTGGAGGACAGGACCTAGTGATTCTAGAGATAACAACAACAGCAACACCAGAACAACAGCAACAACACCACCAAAAACACCAACAACAGCAACAACAAAACAAGAGCAACAACATCTATACCAACAACAGCATAAAACAACATCAACACCAACAACAGCAACAAAACGACAGCAACAACACGAACAAAACAACAGCAACAACACGAACAAAACAACAGCAACAACAACAGCAGCGACAACACCAGCAACAACAGCGACAACATAAACAACATTAGCAGCAGCAGCATCAATAGCAACAACAGCACCAAAAACAACAGCAGCAAAAGCAACCACAACAGCTACAATGACATCAGCAGCAACAACAGCAACTGGCCAATATTCCTCGCTATCATACTGTACCTTTAAATATTAACAATAAAATTATCTAAAAAGTGCACTGTATGTCAATGAAAAACGTGATCATCCAACTCTACTGCTATCAAACAAGGCAGCATCTACTGTGTGACTGTGTCGACATGGTCAGTAGAAGGAAATGATGACCTGCACACATTATCTTGTTAGTTTATCAAGTCTCTAATCTAACAATACCAAGGCTGAAAGTATTAGCACTGGTTGTATCCAAACTATAACATTGGATTTATCCTATTGAAATGGATCTCAAGAAGATTGCAAACAATGTATGGAGAAATAATAACAACAGTAAAATTTAGTTAAAAATATACTGAACAAAAATAATCCACAACAATTCATATATTTCAAGTTCAAGGAATGTAGAAATTTACAGTACTTAAGTGCAGGAAAATATTGTAAAAGCACTTTTGAAAATAATTTAATATATAAATATATAACAGATTTTGATTGGCTAATTCTTATAAAAGAAACACATGTTCACAAAAAAATATTATGATTAATCAATTTTGAGACAAGAATTCTAAAGTGGCAAAATCTTGTTCTACAGCTTTTGATAATTGTAGTTACTTATGTATAGCCCAACTCAGAAAAAAAAATTGGACACTTGAATGCTGGCATTTTTTTGTAAAAAGGGATTCCCGTTTATAAGTCCACTCTCCAAAAAAATCAGCCTAATTTTGTGTTCAAATGGTTATTTATAGATGAGAACTATGGTAATGATAATTTAATGTGTGTATTACTATATTATATTGCACATCATGTTAAATTATTATTGTTATATATATTTCCATAATGCATTGTTCAAAAAATTTTTATTTTAAAGTTTTATTGTAACTTGAATTATATATCTTGTATATTCAAACCCTTTGACTGTTGATGTGTACAACACTGAATAATAAGGAAAAGAGATATTCCGACATCAGTGGCTGAATTTCTAAAAATTGTCACTTTAATTTATGTAAATTGCTACGTCCATAATTCAGATCTGGAGATTTAGCATAGTAAATATTGACTGCCTTGTATTACATATATGCTGGTATATAAACTACAGTTTATTCCACATGATCATCTGTGAAAAATATGGGCACCCTGTTCAAACAGAAGTACAAACTTAACCAACATTTTTATTGCATTGCAAGTTTACATAAATTTTTTCTTTGAGTTTAAAAATCTACATAAGTATTGTACAGTTACTTAGGCCTATAATTTTAATAACAATTTGAAACTATGTTTATTTTACATATTAATTTGTAAATATATGTTTATTGTTGTACAGCTACTTGCAATTCAGTAATGTTTTATACTGCAATGAGTTTGATAATAAAAGCAGAATGAATAAAAATTATTTTGGGTTTGGTATATTAGTATTACACATACAAAACTACTAAGAAAGAAAATCATTACATAGACATATTAATCAAATATTGTATTACAGGACATACTTTATTTAAGACACTGTAAATAATAGGTAAAATGTACTTGAAGCCAAAAATAAAGTATATAACTTTAAAGATGTACTGCCCCAGAAAATACCAAAGTATATCATAAAATTCATTTTTGAAATTAATTAACTTGCTCATTTGGTAAAAAAAGGGGTGGTTACACCCCTTCCCTCCTCTTCCCTCAACTCCCTTTTCTCACAAATATATATTCTCATTAACTGTTCCTGACTTTTTGTCAAACAAACTTTTCATCTTAAAAAAATCAGAGGTTATACAAAATATCAAAAATTGTTTTTCCTCCTTGTATCCAGAATAATATCAAAGTTGATCACTAAATTTTATCACCTAGCCCTAAAATATTGTAACACCGTGATGTAGGCTTACCACGCACTTATACTGCAGGTCAGTATTATTCAGCTATTTGAATCATGATGACTTAAGCTTGTTTTCCATATTCGCTACATGCTATTACCGACCGACTTAGTGATGCTGATTGGTGAGTTGAATCAGGGAGTGTTCCCGATTGCGTTGGGGACAGCTACGCAGTGCAACAATTGCAGTAAATCAACTGTAGCGACAGTGTAGCGATTGTATGGAAACCAAGCTCTACAGTATATCACAAGCTTGAGAGCTTGTTATGAGAAACAGCATAATTCCCATAGAGTAGGATTATTATTATTTAACAAAAACACAAGGATATAACCAATGCATGAATCCCTATATCATCACATAACAGAAAACCTCCACACTAACTCCAACAAATATAATATATAATAGGTTTTACATACCTTTTTCTGACCTCCACCTCCTCATCTGCGGCACCATTGACGTCTCCATTCAAACTTGCATCTTTACTAACAAACTTCACCTCTGTCTCAGTAATGGAACCTAACCGGAAGTGCATACGCTTCTTGCCATCCGAAGGATTCGGTTGCGATGCCATCACATTAAGTGGATTCGTAAAAAATGCACCAATATCTTATTACTTTCTAGGACTAGTCCTGAAAAAAATACAAGTTGCAGTATGGTTACAAAAACATGGGTTGTGGAAATTTCAAAATATTATCCATAAGTACCTTTCCATTATCAAAATACGAAAAAATTTCACATTAAATTATGCTGAATGCATTTCAATACACAAAAGGAATAGAAAAATAGTTAAGCTAGACATTTTGTATTTCACCTATATATTATGCTACTACATACACGAATCCAAATGAAATAATCATAATATAAATAGATGACTATGTTTTATTGGAGAGGAAAAGGGCCTCTTGTTAACATAGTTTGTGGAGTATACCACATAATTCTCACACAATAAAGCAATGAAATAAGGAACATCTCTGATAAAAAGTATTCCTAAATATAAATTATAATCTATTACTGCAATCTATTTTACAGAGAAACAATCAATCAATGATTCAATCAGAAACTGAAAAAAAAAAACCTTACTAAATTGTAAAAATCCTGGTAAAATATCACCGTTAGAATTTGTAGAACAGATTAAACCAAGCTGTTGTAGGACTAGTGACATCCAAGAGAATGGGCTAAGTTGACAGTAACTGATTTTTATAAACCTCTCTAAGAATCTGTGTTGTAGGATATGCTGGTATGGATGAATAATACTATAAATTTGGTATATATACAGATAATGCAAATTCCAATAGTGAAGTAGCTATTTTTTTTAAATGCTGGTAGTTATGCTATATAAGAGAGAATATGTCATGGTACGCAAATATACTTTCTAGTTAACAGTATTGTACATTGAATATTATTTTTAAAAAGATGAGTTAAATTGTACTTTGCGTGGGCACAAAAAGCTTGGAATATTAATTAAAAAGAGATAAAAGTCCTGTTAAAAAGGTACCTTCTGGCAGAGTGTGTTCTAGATAACAATTTAAAATTTTCTCAAAACAAGGTACTTCAGCATCAGATTGTCTCACAGTGTTAAAATTAGAAATGAATTTCATACCAATTTATACAAAAAAAATGTAGTGTGTGTTAGCAATTATTCAATTTCATCATGTGTGAAAGTCCCAAGACTGTATTATAGTTTTACCCAGGGTCTTGTATTTTATAAAACTTTAATAGAACTGTTTTTGCAGCAAGGTGTGCAGCTATGATTTTGTAAGATCACATATGATAACATTGGTTTTAATGCTAATTATCAGCCAGTTAAGACAAGCTGATTAAGATGTTAATGACATGAAGCAAAATCATGTAAATATGCAAATAATTAGTATCCAAGAATTGAAAACAATTAAGTTTTACTATCAACATTTTCAATTTAGGGGAAAAAACCCAAAATCTCAAAGTTTTTTCTATAAAACCTATAGACATGAATCCCCTGTCATTTACATTTTACTGATCAAAATATATAGGGTGAGTGAGTGATGGTTACTGTAGTAATGAAACATAGAATTAAGTCCATATCTATGTTTTATAAAATAAAAACAAAAACATGACTAACAGAAGAATTGAAAACAATTACAAGAATTAAAAAAAATTAACTGCTAGTATGAATATTTAAATTTAAGAGAAAAACCCGAAATCTCAAAATCTGTTTATAAAATTTATACTGTACCAGTTTTAGCCATGAATGTTACAGTAACGCCCATCATTTAAATTTTACTAACAAAAATATATTAGGTGAGTGAGTGATGGTTATGGCCCTGTCACACCTTGACGATTTAGTCAGCGTATGCCAAACGTATCAAAATTTCTCTAAAATGCTGGCATACGCTAAACTATCAATGCTTTTTTTCAACTTAGTGAATTCATAACGTATTAGACGTATAAATAACGTATTTATTAGTAAATTATATACAACATTTTGATTACTTAGAGAAAACTTGCACGAACGAACGCTTAGCCAGTTGCCGGCATTCACAACTTATGCTTAGCGATAGTCTACCTTATGCACAGCATGCAGCAGCGTATCACCGGTTATCACATGACGTAGCCTATAAAAAGGCTTCCGTTCGTCGATTCAAATCATAACCGCACTAGACATCGCAGTATCAACATCACCGTATTGATACCACTCCATTTTAATATACCTATTCCCCTAAAAAGGCTGCCAATATGCCATTATACGATAACTAAGTTAGAAACACGTTCAGTTTTGTGGTCATCCGGAACACGTCAAATACGTCAATATACGTTGGAGATAAGTTCGTTATAAGTTATATATAAGTTTGAAGCACGTTACTCATAGGTTAGAAATACATTTTGACTTTTGAGTAACTTACAAGTAACGCGTGTCAACGTGGGTCAACGATCGCTTAACTTACCTACAACTTACAGCCCGCGTATGTGGAACGTACGACCCATACGCTGGCATACGTCGAAAATTTTCGACGTACTCGCTGTACTAGGACGTATACCAGCGTGCTCTTAACTTATACCAAACTTACCAATACCTTAATTGACGTACGGCAGCATATTCTCCATTTTTTCCCTACGTCAGCATATGCTGGCTAAATCGTCAAGGTGTGACAGGGCCAATAGTAATGAAACATAGAATTAAGCCCATGTCTATATTTTATAAAATAAAGAAACTCATAACTAACAGACCAATCCTGACTTTCAAATGTCACTGTGCTTCAGCAAATAAGGTGGCTTTATTTGTCTTATAATTCATACGAGTTTTCCATCCCAACCGCAGCATACTGTCGCTAATTGCTAAACTGTGTAATTAGCATAAGAATGTTGCAGTATTGTATTTTAGAGAAGCCATAATACTTTTACTCGTAACTTCAGCAATAATAATTCCATCCCAGTAAATGACCCATCATTTTAAGCTTATAATGTGAAGAATAAGAATATATTAAAAAGTTGATTTTCATTTGTTGGTCACTGAAGCTGGTTTTGGGACGGCAAGCCTCATATTCTACTAACGTTGATTAAATACCTCCATGCAGTTAAACATTCTTATATGAACAAGCTGGAAGACCACACATAAATTCAGCCCATGAAATTTGGAAAAAATTAGGTTGACAAAATTTTTCTACGAGGTCAGCAGTCTTAGCCATTTTTTACTACCTAAGCCTATATCTAGCATAAACTACGATTTTTTCGAACGCTCTACTTTACATCATCAATTTCTCTATTAAATCAATATATTGCTGGTGAAAGAATGGTTGTACTTGTATCATTTTAATAGTGTAGTATAATACATATGTTTTACATAAGAAAATCGCTGAAAAAAATGTTGTTTTACCGTTAGTTTTAGGATTATCTTTAGCATGTGGAAAATCACTTTAAAGATTATCTAAAAAGAATTTGAAAAAAAAAAAATATACATCCTGATTATAATGCACTTGTCAAATGTAGTCCCGCCCACCCCGACCATAGAGGGGCCCTAGCCGGGATGTACCTAAAATTTACCGTAGATGTAACAGGCCTCGGAAGGGCCAAGAATATTCTTTTTAAATATTGAATAATTAAATTCTATCAATTAGTTAAATCAATCAATCATTTTCTTTTTCTACAATCAATCTGTCAATACACTCCCTTTTTTTACACTTCCAAACTTAAATAGAAATCTGATTAGTGATACGTATGCGTAGTGCTTCCATTAAACAAGCTCATTTCCTTGGCCTAGCTCCTCCTAGCTCTCATGTGTTTCTCCGATTTCAGACCTAATGCAAGACCTTCAAGTACTACAGTAGGTCTTATCATCCAATCATTTATTAGCGGGGCATTTTACCTTGACTACGGCGGTAAGTGGCGAGGACTTAGCCGGGGATGTACGTTAAAACGATGCCTCGTTCGATGGAAATTAAGGGTGCTACTAGTGGATTATTAAGGTAAATATGAGATGATTTTTATTAATTTTTAATTTGTTTTCAGTTTAACAGGCACATTTTTTAAGGTAATGCAAGCCACCAAACCCCACCCTCTCCCCATTCTTCTACTGCACCCCCACCCCCCCAATTTTTTTTATGTCACTGCTATTAATATCGTCAAAAACGTAATGTACTGTATTCATTAGTACTTCATTAGAACATTCAATTTATTGATCATAGAAAAAAATTATTTGACTTAGAAAAAATTTTACTTGCAGATTCTTAATATTCATTAGTACTTATAGAACATTCAATTTATTGATCATAGAAAAAAATTGTTTGACTTAGAAAAATTTTACTTGCAGATTCTTAATGGAAAACACAACAATTTGGCATTTAAAATAAGATCGACTTAGAAATTATTTGAGTTGGGCAAAGTTTAACTATGACAAATGTTTCATGTAAACATTTCTTGTCATTGTGAATCAGAATGCCCTACCTTTAAAATGTGTTACCATTATCTTTAATAATTACTTTCTACCATGAATATCATAGTTAATGTCTACACTTTACCAACTACCAATGTATTATAATGTATACTAAATCAGTATACTGTTTTACGAATGCTAGAGATAAAAAAAATCTCAACTTTTCTCAGAGTGCTACTTTTTGCTTTAAATGTTTTATTTTTAAGTAAAATTTAATGGATTCTTATGTAATTGCACACTACTGCACATATGTTTTAAACTGTTGGATCTATAAATTATGTAGATTAGAAGATAGTTAATTATTTAACAGAAGCCTGGTACCACCAAATTATTCTGTAGTATAGGCACTATACAAATCAATTATCCTTACTACCAATGCTGGCAAGAAGCATACCCACACGAGGACAAATACAAAATTTAAGATTGGAATAAATAAGCACCATTCAATTGGCGAAATTATTTGAGTTGGGCAAAGTTTAACTATGACAAATGTTTCATGTAAACATTTCCTGTCATTGTGAATCAGAATGCCCTACCTTTAAAATGTGTTACCATTATCTCTAATAATTACTTTCTACCATGAATATCATAGTTAATGTCTACACTTTACCAACTACCAATGTATTATAATGTATACTAAATCAGTATACTGTTTTACGAATGCTAGAGATAAAAAAAATCTCAACTTTTCTCAGAGTGCTACTTTTTGCTTTAAATGTTTTATTTTTAAGTAAAATTTAATGGATTCTTATGTAATTGCACACTACTGCACATATGTTTTAAACTGTTGGATCTATAAATTATGTAGATTAGAAGATAGTTAATTATTTAACAGAAGCCTGGTACCACCAAATTATTCTGTAGTATAGGCACTATACAAATCAATTATCCTTACTACCAATGCTGGCAAGAAGCATACCCACACGAGGACAAATACAAAATTTAAGATTGGAATAAATAAGCACCATTCAATTGGCTATAAAATATCTTGGTATCTTTACTCATAAGAAATTAACAGAGTATTAACAAATTTCATAGCAATAGAATGTTTCAATTGCAAAATATTGTAATATATATGAAGAAAAAACAATTTTAAACAATTGTGAGCTAACATTACAAGATTAAAATGCTCAAAATAGAGTAATAAAAATGGTCTGTTGCTCATGATAAATGGGACTGATTTCTGAGTTTTGGATGTATTCCCCCGGTACAAATAAAATACTTTTCAGTGTGGAAAAGGAGAGCTATGGCCAAGTTTATAATTATCTAGATCAGTCAAAAAATTTTAAAACATCAACATCTAATACTACAGA